GTTTGACACTCTGTCTTTAAACTGGTGAGTTTAAGTCCATGTATATGATTATTTTTATATTGAACTGTTTCTGTCTTCCTTTGTGCTATTTTCCTGTGCTTCCTTTTATTCCTTTCCTGTTTTTTATTTTTATTTGTTTAAATTTTTATTGGAAAAAAATTTTATTGGGGTATAGTTGATTTACAGTGTTGTGTTAGTTTCAGGTGTACACTAAAGTGAATCAGTTATACATATAAATATTTCCACTCTTTTTTATATTCTTTTCCCGTATAGGACACTAGAGAGTATTGAGTAGGGTTCCCTGTGCTCTATAGTAGGGTCCTTATTGGTAATCTATTTTATATATAGTATTATGTATATGTCATTCTCAATCTCCCAATTTATCCCTGCCCCCCTTTCACCCCTGGTAATCATAAGTTTGTTTTCTATATCTGTGAATCTATTTCTGTTTTCTAAATAAGTTCATTTGTACAATTTTCTTTTAGATTCCACATATAAGTCATATTGTATGATATTTGTCTTTGTCTGACTTACTTCACTCAGTATGATAATCTGTAGGTCCATCCATGTTGCTGCAAATGGCATTATTTTGTTCTATTTATTTATTTGGCTGCATTGGGTCTTCGTTGCTGCGCGCAGGCTTTCTCTAGTTGCGGTGAGTGGGGGGCTACTCTTCGTTGTGGTGCACAGGCTTATCATTATGGTGGCTTCTCTTGTTGCAGAGCACGGGCTCTAGGCACACGGGCTTCAGTAGTTGCAGCATGTGGGCTCAGTAGTTGTGGCTCGTGGGCTCTAGAGTGTAGGCTCAGTAGTTGTGGTGCACAGGCTTAGTTGCCCCATGGCATGTGGGATCTTTCCAGACCAGGGATTGAACCCACGTCCCCTGCATTGGCAGGTAGATTCTCAACCACTGCACCACCAGGGAAGTCTTATTTTGTTCCTTTTTATGGTTGAGTAATATTCTATTGTATATATGTACCACACCTTCTTTATCCATTCCTCTGCCAATAGGCTTAAAAGTTGCTTCCATGTCTTGGTTATTGTAAACAGTGCTGCAGTGAACATTGGGGTGCATGTATCTTTTCGAATTATGGTTTTCTCTGGATATATGCCCAGGAGTGGGATTGCTGGGTCATATGGTAGTTCCATTTTTAGTTTTTTAAGGAACCTCCATACTTTTCTCCATAATGGTTGTACCAATTTACATTCCCACCAGCAGGGTAGGAAGGTTCCCTTTTCTCCACACCCTCTGCTGCATTTACTGTTTTTAGATTTTTTGATGATGGCCATTCTGACTAGTATGAGGTGATACCTCATTATAGTTTTGATTTACAATTTTCTAATAATTTGTGACATTGAGCATCTTTTCATCCACATTTTGCCATCTGTATGTCGTCTTTGGAGAAATGTCTGTTTAGATCTTCTTCCCAGTTTTTGATTGGGTTGTTTTTATTATATTGAGCTGCATGAGCTATTTGTATATTTTGTAGATTAATCCCTTGTTGGTCGCTTTGTTTGCAAATATTTTCTCTCATTCTCTGGGTTGTCTTTTTGTTTTGTTGATGGTTTCCTTCACTGTGCAAAAGCTTTTAAGTTTAGTTAGGTCCCATTTGTTCAGTTTTGTTTTTATTTTTGTTGCTCTAGGAGGTGGATTCAAAAACATTGAATGTTGCTGCGATTTATGTCAAAGCATGTTCTGTCTACATTTTCCTCTAAGAGTGTTAGAGTGACCGGCCTTACATTTAGGTCTTTGATCCATTTCGAGTTTATTTTTGTGTATGGTGATAGAGAATGTTCTAATTTCATTCTTTTGCATGTAGCTGTCCAGTTTTCCCAGCACCATTTATTGAAAAGACTGTCTTTCTTCACTTGTGTAGTCTTGCCTCCTTTGTCATAGGTTAATTGACCGTAGGTTTGTGGATTTATCTCTGGGCTTTCTATCCTGTTCCATTTATCTATATTTCTGTTTTTGTGCCAGTATCATACTGTTCTGACGACTGTAGCTTTGTAGGATATCCTGATGTCAAGGAGCCAAGATTACTTTGGCTATTCAGGTCTTTTGTGTAGCCATACAAATTTTAAGATTTTTTGTTCTAGTTCTGTGAAAAATGCCATTGGTAATTTGATAGGGATTGCATTGAATCTGCAGATTGCCTTGGGTAGTATTGTCACTTTGACAATATTGATTCTTCTAGTCCAAGAACATGGTATATCTCTCCATCTGTTTGTGTCATCTTTCATTTCTTTCATCAGCACCTTGTAGTTTTCTGAATACAGGTCTTTTGCCTCCATAGGTAGGTTTATTACTAAGTATTTTATTCTTTTTAATGTGATGGTAAATGGGATTGTCTCCTTAATTTATCTTTCTGATCTTTCATTGTTAGCATATAGGAATGCAAGAGATTTCTGTGTATTAATCTTGTATCCTGCAACTGTACTAAATTCATTGATGAGCTCTAGTAGTTTTCTGATAGCATCTTTAGGATTTTCCTTTTTGTTTTAACTTTGTATTTTATATTGGAGTATCGCTGACTAACAATATTATGATCAGGTGTACAGCAAAGTGATTCAGTTATACATATACTTGTATCTTTTCATTTTCAAATTCTATACAAGAGTAATGCTTATCCTCTCTTTATAATTTGAAGATATGTCCCTACTATCTTCTACATCCCATTCTTTGACTCCTGTCCAGAGTAGTTCTGCCTCCCCCACCCCCATTTTTGCTCTTTGCTCAGGGATCCTTACCGTAGTTTCAATCAAGGGACTTCGGTTAGTTGGTTATTTTTTTTACTGAGAGTGTGGTACCCTTGGAAATTTCCCTTTTTTTAGAGTCCTGTGTTGTACTTTAACATATATTTTATAAGCAATCTAGTTGGGGCGCTCTTTGATATTTTTGGTTGAACATACTGCCAGACGCCAATGCCAACTCTTTCATTTTATCATAATGTTAATCGTTACCTCTCACCTAGAATGAAGAGTACCTCCTGATCTGTCCACCTTAATTTCATATTTCCCAATTTCAATTAATCATATATATGGTTGCCAAATTTATGTATCAGTGGATATATTAGACATGTTAAATTTGAGTTTCCTGGAAATAAAGAGTTTGCAGCTCAGGAAATAAATGGATTCTAGAGATTTATGGGTCATTGATATAATTATCAATGCCATAGGAGTGGGTAAGGTTACTGGGGAAAACTTCATGGAGTAGGCAAAGAAAAATTAACTTAAAAAGGAGACTAAGAAGATGAATTCTAAGATGAATTCTAAGAATTGAGAAAACAAAGAATGAATCTCCAAATGCAAGGAAAGAGAGGGTTTCAAGGAGGGGAAGTTAATAGGGTCAGATATGGCCAAAAGGGCACACAAGATAAGAACTTATCTTTAAAGTCTGGATAATTTATTACTGCTAGAAAAGTTTCATTGGAGTGGCAGCAAATGCAAGATGGCAGTGAATGTATGGAAGAGTAGTACAACTTGCTGATCCTCTGTCTTCTTCCTCATTACATCCCATTTCCACTGTATATATAATGAATCATTCAGCTTCCTGGAACAAAAATAAACACAATTTTCTTCTGATCTTCCATAGTTGAAAGGGATTCAAGCAAATACTGGAGATACTAGTAAGTAGAGCCAGGGAGGAGATGGGATAACTGTAATCAAACACAGAATGGAAATTGTGAAGTGTTTCAGGTTCTGGACCTACCAGCTCATATGGAATAATAATAAGCCTTGTGTGTTTGAATTTTAATTATATTAGCTATTTCACTAATAAATGTGTGTACTCTGTCAATAATAATTTATATTCTACATTTCTGACACGTTTTATTTGAAATCTATATTTTTTTAAAATAAATTGATTATTTGTTTATTTTTGGCTGCGTTGGGTCTTCATTGTTGCATGAGGGCTTTTGTCTAGTTGTGGCACGCAGGGGCTACTCTTTGTTGTAGTGTGCAGGCTTCTCATTGTGGTGGCTTCTCTTGTTGTGGTGCATCATTATATTTTATACCATTTTATTTCACAACATAAAACAGAGAACAGAGAACAACTTGGTTATTTATGTTCTTGTTTCTTGAGTCAGAAAGACTGACAGTTATATGTAAGTCTCAACATTTAGACAAAATAAAGATGAACTTTCATTCCAAAATCCTGTGCAAATTGTATGTTCATGACATGCTTTTCTCTCAGGATTTTAAAATGTCTTCAGAGGTAATTAATTTAAACTGAAGTTTGTTCTCATGTATTTTAGCCTAAAATTAAACTTTCACAAAGAAAATTCTCAGTTTTACCTCAAGGAAAGATAGGATAAAACAGTAGAAAAGTAGTATCTTAAAAAAATACTTATCCGAAAAAGAGGGGATATTTGTATACATATGGCTGATTCACTTTGCTGTACATACAGCAGAAACTGACACGGCAGTTTCAGTTTCTGAAAGAAACTGAAAATAAAACTAGAAAACAAAACAAAAAAAAAAAAAATCTTAGAAACTATTTATTATTTTCATTTACAACAGAGGAGAACGTATTTTTTCCAAACTCACAAATATGAAAGTTTTGTAATAATGCAACATTTGACTTCTTAACTTTTACCTAAGAAACATGAAAGTATAATTATATGATTTATTAATTGCTCTTATCCTGCTATATTCTCCATATCCCCATACTTTTCTCTTACATAACAAAACACAACAAAGTAAAATATAATGAGAAACATTATTTCCTAAGCTATCATTTCTCTACATTCAGCAGCACCTAATCTGGTTATGTTTATCTTTGAAAGTTGCACTGAACACCTCCACAGGGCTGTGTGCCTCAGCTCCTCCTAAGTACAATAAGAGTTCACATAGGGAAGATCCCAGCAGGCAAAGTCCCTCCTCTTTGAGAATATTTTTCGTATCAGAACAAAAACAGTAACACATAAGTAAATTAAACAAACTGATCTCTCCTCTTCTGTAGTTTTGTTCACAACATATAACATTTCTTTTCTACCTTATAGGTACCAGAGATTTGAAAAGGCATTTCTGTTAGCTGTTGACATTGGTGCTCGTGACCTGTTTATGGTGAGTCATTCCCAGAGATGATTTTGTGCCTTCAGTTCTAAGGCTGAGTAAGTTGTCAGCTTTTGTGACCATTAAAAAGGATTAGTGTCATTTGTGCCTTCGACACATGGTGGGAAAGTATTATTCCATCCTGGCTTGCAGCTCTGCCTTCATGAAACTGGGCAATAGCCATCTAGTCTCTTTTGACATTTTCCTTGCCAGACCCAAAGGGTTTTTTAAGTTTTCTAAGAATTTATAATTCTTGAACATTTCTCCTCATGTACGTTGATGTGAGGGGATGACACCTTTGTATCTAACAAGCTTAAATGTCTTTCTAATCCATTCTCTAAAAAGTACAGCTTCAGAAACCAGGACATAGGGCAAAACATGTCCCCTAGATCTTGAATGTGCTCAGTTTGTCCCTTCATTTTTAGTGAGAAGTAACATATTATGAATGTTCTCACTTGTATTTTTAAAGTACCCACAGTGCAAAGTGGATCCAAGAGGATATAAATTCAAATATGCTTTAGTCCTCCATTTATTAGCTACGGAACAGTAAAATCAACCAGTTTCTTACAGATCTTTGTGCTCTGTATCAGGTTCTTATTTTATAAGATCTTTCACCACAGCGTCCAGTGAGATCAGATAAACAAAGGTGGGGTTCCTGGTTTTCCAGCATATTGTGCTCCACAGAGATTTCACTGTTGTCAATGAAACAATGAAGCAAAAGCTTCTTGAAAACAACAAAAACTTCTGGAAGGCTCTTTTACCTGAATCTTCTGCACAAATGAAGACATTTTGTAGTTTAAATTAAGCTTTGATGCTTTAGATGTTAATATGGGTTCATGACTTTGTAATGAATTTGTTATTTAAATTCTAATTTTGCATCATTCAGTTAAATTGTGCTTTCATTGATCATACTTCACATGTATGAGCCTTTTGTTGCTCATCTGTATTTTGTTAGGTCAAATTGATCAGGCATATTAGTATATGAAGGGAACATTTTATTATTTTCACCAGAGTCTATGCATGCAGACATCACAGTGTCAGAAATTTAATTACAACACCTTTTAGATTTTCTGACCCCAATGACTTTCACTCTTTACCTCCACCTTCTCACCTCTGACACTACTCACAAGTAAAGGTAGATTTTCTTCATATTTCTTTATTTTTTTTATGTCTATAGTCCCAGTCTTTTTTCTAGCAAAGAAAAGAACTGAAGAGATGAGTATTTAAATATTTAGTGTCTGGTAAACTTTCTTTCTCAATGTATTATTATATTGCTCTGTAATTTTTGCTTCTTTGGCTATTAATTAATAAATAATCATCAAAGCCATCTTAGAAATTTTTTTCAAATCATATCTGTTTCAGCATTTAGTCTCAGTTAGGCAGTAACAATATAAAGAAAGTCTCCATGTTAGTTTAAAGCCAAATAGGCTTTCTGCTGATAGGCTAACCCTAACCCATAAGGATATTTACTAGTAAAAGGTAAAAACCTAAAATAAGGGAATGAGAGAAATAGTTTTACTTTCCTTTTTATTTGTAAAGGTGAACAATCAAAATGCTACATCCTTATTCTTCCTATGTAACATTGCTTATTTATAGCCCAAGATTTGCCTTCAGGAAGCATTAAGAGCCTTAAGAGAGCATTAAGGCCTTAAACAAAGCTCCTTTTAAGCTCATGATTCTACTGTATACATTTGAAGCTCCATATTGAAATTGTCTAAAGAATTTATCATGTTTTCTAATAGATCACATATTAGTATTTAAATTATCATCTAGCCTATATGAGAAATATTACCTCTTTGAATTTAAAAGTTTTTAAAATAAACAGGATTATTCCTACATGTAAATTATCTTCTCCCACCAAGATATCTCTTCCTTAAAGAATAAAAATATGACCACATTGAATGCAAAGGGGTCACCAAAAAAGCATAATGGTTAACCTGAGAATATTCTTTTTGCATTAGCATCTATCAGAGATAGAAGGATAAAAGACATATAGCATGATATCAATAGGCCTTGAATATTAAAAAGTCAGTATGTGGGTATTGGACCTGAGGAAATGGGCCAGAAAGGACCTCTTTGTCTGCTTTACACTGTAGCCTAAGTGAACATCTTCTAAAATTAGGGTCAGCAACCTATGGCCTGCCAGCCAAATCTAGCCCCAAAATGGCTTTTTACAGTTTTAAATCGCTGAAAAAAATCAAAAGAAAAATAGTATCAAAACACTTTAAAATATATGATATTAAAAATACATGATAGTGAAATTCAAATTTCAGTGTCCATAAGTGAAATGTTACTGGAACACAGCCAAACTGATTTATGTAATGTGTATGACTGCTTTACTCTATGATGGCAGAGTTGAGTGGTTGCAAGAGACTATATAGCTTGTAAAGCCTAAAATATTTCTATCTGGTGTTTTACAAAAAAAGTTTGCAGACCCCTTGTCAAAAAAATCATAATTTATAATTTCACTCCTCTATTTAAAACCCTTTAGCAGCTTCTCGTCACCTTTGGGATAAATTCTAACTCCTTAATATGGCATCTAAGGTCCCTCCACTCTCACCTCTCTGCTTTCCAGCTACATCAGCTTTCTTTCAGTTCTGGGAAATGTACTCTACTCCTTATTATATCCAGACCATGTTAAGGAGTTTGGGTTTTTCCTTACCCCAAATCAGCAAGGTGTAATGGGAAGGTGTAATGGTAGACACATGGAATTTGGGTCATAAGTTGTCGTCAAGATCAGTAACTTTTGAGTTTTTTAAAATGTATATAAATGACGATAATAATATAGTACCTACCCATAGGTTGGGTTTTTTAATTGAATAAAAGCATCTTTGAATTCTGTGGTGCTTTATAATTTTTAAGTTTCACACAGATGATTTCATGTAATCCTATAATAACCCTTTGTTTCCCTTCACTCCTATATCGCCCCTCCCTATTTCCCTCTCCCCACTGGTAACCACTAGTTTGTTCTCTATAATCTGCTTCTTTTTTATTATATTCACTAGTTGTATTTTTTAGATTCCACATATAAATGATATCATACAGTATTTGTCTTTCTCTGACTTATTTCACTTAGCATAATGTCCTCCAAGTCCATCCATATTGCTGCAAATGGCAAAGTTTCATTCTTATTTATGGCTGAGTAGTATTCCAAGGTATATATATAAGACACCGTCTTTATCCATTCAACTGTTGATGGAAACTTAGGTTGCTTCCATACCTTGGCAATTATAAATAATGCTGCTATGAACATTAAGGTGCATGTATCTTCTTTGACTTAGTGGTTTTGGGTTTTTTTTCGGATATATATCCAGGAGTGGAATTGCTGGTAGTTCTATTTTAAGTTTTTTGAGGAAACCCCATACTGTTTTTCACAGTGGCTGTACCAATTTATGTTCTCAACAACAGTGTATGATGGTTCCCTTTTCTCCACATCCTCACCAACATATGTTGTGGTCTTTTTGGTGATAGCCATTCTGACGGGTGTGAGGTGGTATCTCATTGTGGTTTTGATTTGCATTTCCCTGATGATTAGTGATGTTGAGCATCTTTTCATGTGCCTGTTGGCCAACTGCATGTCCTCTTTGAAAAAACTGGCTATTCAGTTCTGCCCATTTTGTAATTAGGTTGTTTGTTTTTTTTATGTTGAGTTGTATGAGCTCTTTATATATTATGAATATTAACCCCTTATTGGTCACATCATTTGCAAATATTTTCTCCCATTTAGTAGGTTGTCTTTTCACTTTTGTGGATGGTTTCGTTTGCTGTGCAAAAGCTTTTAAGTTTAATTAGGTCTCACTTGTTTATTTTTGCTTTTGTTTCCTTTCCTTTTAGGAGATGGATCCAAAAATATATTGCCATGATTTAAGTATTCTGCCTGTTTTCCTCTAGGCGTTTTATAGTATCTGGTCTCACATTTATGTCTTTAATCCATTTTGAGATTGTTTTTGAATCTTAGTGGAGATACTGTATTGGAAGTACTTTGTAAACTAGGAAGTACTAAACAGATATTATGTGTCATTACTATTAAGAGAGAGCAACAGTTGTTTTTACATGCCAATTGCAAGAAATAATGAAGACCTGAAATGGCCTGAATTACATGAATATAAAAGAGAAGATATTTTGTAAGCAAAATCAATATGATTCAGTAAGCCCTTAGATGAAAATGAACTATTTAGATTATGAGTAAATAATAATATAATAAAAAACAATACCATAAAATATAAAGAACAAAGTAAAAAAAAATCACTTGAAATTTTCTTATCCAGAAATGAACATCCTTTAAAATACCTCTATAAGTGTACACACGTACTAAACTTCTTATTTATAACTAGTTTTTTTTCATTCATCAATGTTATAGTGACAGTTTTCCATAAAAATAAATATAGACCTATATCACTACTTTAATGGTTACATTGTATTCCATTTTATGGGTGGTACTGACATAAAAGCAGGCATATAGACCAGTGGAAAAGAATAGAGAGCCTAGAAGTAAACCCATGAATATACTGTCGACTGCTTTTTGACAGGGGCACCAAGAACACACAATGGGGAGAGGATAGTCTCTTCAGTAAATGGTGGTGGGAAAACTGGATATCTACATGCAAAAGAATGGAACTGGGCCCACTCACAAAAATTACCTTATACCACTCACAAAAATTAACTCAAAATGGGTTAAAGACTTACATGTAATACCTGAAAGCACAAAACTCCTAGAAGAAAACATTGAGAAAAAGCCACTTGACATTGGTCTTGGCAGTAATTTCTTGGATAAGACACCAAAAGCAAAGGCAAAAAAAGCTAAAATAAATACGTAGGACTACATCAAACCAAAAAGCTTCTGCCCAGCAAAGGAAACAAACAAGAAAAAGAAAAGGCAGTCTATGGAATGGGAGAAAATATTTGCAAATCATATATCTGATCTGGAGTAAATATCCAAAATACGTAATGAACTCATACAACTCAATACCAAAATTCAAATAATGCAATTTAAAAATGTGCAAAGGACCTGA